ATATTGTTTGTGCACCAAGGACACAGTCTCCAAAATAAAAAGACATAGCAATGTAAGGTGTCCCTCCTGAACAAACAATGGCCTACAGCGGGCTCTAGCCTTCAATTTGCATAAGTACCTAAGAGCCCTCTTCTGTAGGAGAAACATAGAGTTAAAAAGTTGTTTGCTACAAAAAAAACCAAAAAGCAATCTGATATCTCAAATGGGACTCCACAGTCAGCTGTGGATGACCCGAACTGCCCTGTGACAATATGAACAGTATATAACATAGAGATATCAATTTCTTGTTTAGACACAATATATTTATTTATTTAGGATAGGATGATGGGTTATAAATGCACAAAATACAGTTAATAATTAACTTCTTATAATATAACATTATCAAACACTAATAGTCCATCTAATGAGAGCTACATAAGATTTTCTCAACTGCGTTATGACTGTAATAGGCTGTCGGATATTTGTTTTAATAATTATATGCTTGGTCTGGATGCAAACTTAAAAGAGAATCCTAAATCTTTTTGGAAGTATGTCAACGATAAACGTTCTAGTCACACATTGCCCAGTTCTTTGGTTTATGGCGACCAGGCCGCAACAAATGGTCAAGAAATTGCTAACTTGTTTGGAGATTTTTTTCAAACTGTTTACACGGTCAATGACGATTCATCCCAGTCTGTTTTTAATCACCCTAATGACATGAACTTGAGCATCAATATAAAAGTTACTGATATTTCTGTGATCGATATTTTTAATGAAATCATGAAAATGCCCGATAAGCTTGCAGCTGGACCAGATGGCGTACCTAACTTTTTATTAAGGAGATGTGTTTGTACAATTGTAATACCATTGTCTGTACTCTTCAATGAATCTTTAACATCTTCAGTTTTTCCTGATACCTGGAAGGAAAGTCATATAGTCCTAATTTTTAAAAGTGAAAAGAAAAACGATGTAGAGAACTATCGGAGCATTTGCATACAATCAGCAATCCCGAAGCTATTTGATTGTTTGGTCACTGGGCAGATGTCCTGGCAATGCAAGGGTTTGGTTGGCCAGCAGCAGCATCGCTTCTCAAAGAACAAGTCGACTTTATCTAATCTAACAACTTACCAACTAAATATTCTTCAGAATATGGAAGATAGATGTCAAACGATATACACAGACTTTTCTAAAAAGCCTTTGATCGGGTAGATCAGAATATGTTGCTTCATAAAATGCTTTTATTAGGCTTTAATCCTGAGTTTCTGTTATGGTGGAGAAGCTCAATGAGTGATAGAATACAACCACTAGAAATGTAAGTCTTATGAGAGACGTCAGTCTAGTCGTTTCAGCTTTCCCCTCCAATCACTAGAGGCGCTTCAATCAACCTATTAAAGTTTTCTTTTTCCTGCCGGACCGTGCGCCAAAATTTGAAGTTTATTTTGTCATTTCCAGTCGTCAAAATTTAAATTTTGAACTTCTCCCAACATTTAGAATTATCAATTACCTATCAATTATCAATAATTATTATCTCAAAATGTCTTCTCCCAGTTTGTTAATTGAAAAGCATCAGAAATGCTGTGTTCCGGGGTGCGGCGACAAATACAGCAGCTATTTCCGGTTTCCAAAAGATGCCGAAAAAATGAAACAATGGCTAGAAAAAGTTCGCAATCCTTTACTAAATAGCCTCAGTGTCGAGAAGGCTTATAATAATTATAGAGTGTCAACAAGACATTTTCGTCGAGAATTTATTGTTGGCGATCCAAAAGGCAGACGAGGACTCACATGGAATGCTGCGCTTTTGCTGTATCTCCCTGAAGGTAAGTTAATACTAGATATATGTGAGAAAGACGTACTTACATTTTCACTTACTCCTCCCCATAGTTCTGATTAACGACAACGTGTTAGAATTCAGGTTTAAAGGAGCATAGGTCAGAAACATTAAAATTAATTTCAATTTTAGCCCCAATTATCAAAAACAGTGAGGAGTCGTTAATTGATAAACCACAATCACCAAAATGGCAAAAAGTGGAGATCGACACAGTTGAAACTCGTCGAAGAGTCCTAAGACGCCTTCAGAAATTAGTTTCGCAACTATGATTGACATAGGTAGGTAAACATAATAACTCTGTTCCAACACGTCAAAAAATCGTCCCATGAACGGTTTCGAAACCACTCAGTATAACAATTTTAGTTTCTGCGCAGAATCGTGACGGTACATTGTACGGTTTTCTGCTGTGTTGGAACAAAGCTAATATTATTCATTTCTTTTTTTTAAATGTTTATTCCTTTATCAGGAGACACAATAATTAAAATATTCCTGGTTACATACAGGTACACCATATTCTACAATGCGTGTATCCAAACTTTTTTGGTAGAATCATTGAAATTTCTGTTTTAGATCAACCAGGCCCTTCATGTCGTCAATTTTTATCTACTGAAACTTCTGCAATTCGGGCAGACATTGCTACACCAAGTGGAACCATCACATCTGCAAACATGAAAAAGTCAGCAACCAACTTTGTCTCTTAAAACTTTTATTGGTAGGTACCTAAGTGTTATTGCTTAATGAATAACCACCCAGTTGGGAGTAGGTGAATTTTAAAACATCCTAACTCAAGTAGGACTACTACTATAAAAGACTACTAATTACTAAAACTTGCAGTCGAATGCTAGAAAAATTAGAAGCTAAATGTGCGAAAAGCTCGTCTCCAATCTTGATCTATTTTTTTTTTGCAGGTCATGAGAGACGATGCCAAATTTTAAAGAACATTAACGTCACTAGGCAAAAAATTCCTATCCCCAAGGGAAAAATATCTTTATTCCAAAGTTATAGAATCCAGCAATAAGTTAAGAAGAATCAGTAGAAGGTTGTCGTCATTTAAATCCAAAGTTTCTGCTGCTGAATAACTTGCATCATAAACCAAATTTCAAAGGCTCGTAGACCACGTCAATCCATTGATATACAGCTTTATTTTAAGCCAAGTCCGTACTCAAAACCAAAAGCCTAAAGCTAGACGATTTACATTGAACGAGAAGTTGTTGGCGTTGTCTTTGCTTAAAGCTAGTGGTAAAGGGTATAGACTATTATCAAAAATATTTATTCTATCATCCAGGCGAAATCATTTTCTTGAATGAGCTTTATATTATGTATAACTACATAAACTTTCTACCTAACACACGCGGAAAGTGTATTTTCTGGACTTAAAGGCTTGTCCGAACTCTGCTTTTTGTTGTCATTCGTGCAACTTCCATCACGTGCAGAAACACTTTCCTCACTTGTTAGGTTAACAACGATTTTGGATTGTGAGAAAAGGACCTCTTTTGTCATTTTATTTACGATTTAAGTTTTTCATCAAGCTATTGTTAAATGTACGTCATTACTTCTTGTAACTGTCCTTATTATCTTTAACTTAACTAGCATTACCTACCTATGTATGTATTTACATGAAAAAAAAAACTGTTTCGCATAAATTGTAATTAATTCCATATTCTTTAATATTTTCTGTTTCAAACTTTAATAAATATCTAAATTTGTTATCTTAATTCTTAGTCAATTTTACCTTGAAGGCGCTTCAACACTACCGATTTTATGAGTTTCTTCTTTTTGGCACAATTATTTTATGCCAAAAAATGGTAGAAACTTTAAAGTGGTGGTGTTGAATCGCTAGAATCAAACAATGGTGCAAACGATCCACCGGAACGAATAAGATACCGAACGAACCCTAATTGCGTTTTGCATTCGCCAATAAATCCAGAATTACAAAAGCTTACCCCCCCAGTCACTAGAGGCGCTGAAAACTTATAGACAGGTTCTCAACACGGCACTTACCTTTCTAAGGAATACAACGCGTCAAACTCGGTTGCCATAGTTCTCCGCTCCTATTTAATATTTTTGTAAATGATATTGTCGATTGTTTTTTGAATAGTGAGTGTGCTTGCTTTGCTGATGATATTAAATTTTGGAGAAGGATTCTGACCATTCATGATCAGGACCTACTGCAGGAGGATTTGGACCTGTTATCTGTCTGGTGTCAAACGAACAAATTACACTTGAATGCTAAGAAATGCAGTTATATCAGCTTTTCTCGTAAACCTGTCAGAATTCCTACAGAATATTTTATCAATGATCAACAACTAGAATACAAAAAGTCTATAAAGGATTTGGGTGTGATTTTTGATGAAAGGTTGACATTTGTTGATCATATCAATTCAATAACAGTCAAGGGTTCAAAGATGTTGAGATTCATTGTAAGAAACACGACCTTCTTCTCAGTCGATGCGACTAGAATGGTGTATTGTTCCCTAGTGAGAGCTATTTTGGAGTACTATTCGCCGGTGTGGGCTCCATTTTTTCAAATTCATTCAGTCTCTGGAAAGGGTGCAGCATAAGTTCTTACGAGTATGTGCATTCCGATCTTATATTTCGATTGTGGACCATGACTATACTACTGTGGAAAGGTTATTCAGGTTGCCTACTTTGAGTGCAAGGAGAGATTTCTTTGGCATATTATTTGTTTTTAAAATTGTTAACGGCCTGATTGACTGTTCTTTTCTTTTAAGCCAAATTGGTCTAAATGTTCCTTATTATATAAATATTAGACATCATTCTACTTTTAATATTCCTTTTCATAGAACATCTTATGGTATTTACTCTCCAATAAATAGAAACTTGGTAAAGATTAATAATCTAGATTTAGAAATTTTTAATGTGTCCTTGTCTAAATTTAAAAGAGACTACAAAAATATGCTTCTTGTACCTTAATAACAACTAACTGTGTTATTTGTATTGTTCCTTTTCTTTAGCGTTCAATGTTATCTACATATTAGTAAATTATTTATAAATATTGTCACATTATATTTAATTTTTCTGTAAAATTTCTTTAATGGGGTTGTCCCGTATAATAAATAAATAAATAAACACTGAGTTAACAGTGTATAGGTATAGATTCCTGCGATATCATTTTATTTTCAAGTAATTGTGATTTTACAGGATAATTTCCTAATATAAATTTCTATTTCAGATGGTTCGAAAAACAACAAGAGCAGCAACTCTAAAAGCCAAATCTGAATCGTTAAGAAGATCACAACGGAGAAGATCCAGTTCGAAAAGTGAAGATTCTGACGACAATGAAAAGTTATCAAATATAAAAAAGACAGTTAAATCGCAATCAGAATCAGGTACGAATTCCGACACCGATTCCAAAAAGCCACTGAAAAAACGGACAAGATCAAAAAAAATAAGTGAATCCAACAAGACAGAAAAAATAAGTGAATCTAATGAAACAGTAACTGAAAAAACTGATAAAAAATCTAGTAACAGTAACGAACAACAAAAGGATGCAGAAACGGAAGAGGTAAATGAAAAAGGTAAGTCTAAATCTATAAATAATAATAAATCCAATGACAATGGACCAACCGAGAATGACGAAACGAATGCACAGGTGACAGAACAGTCACCAAAAGACGACAACAATGCTGACGACCCATCGGCTAATAATGACAATAGTACAATGGATGCATCTTTGTCGGAAATTGTTGATGTCAATATATCTCAAAGTTTAGTGGCTGAAATGACTTGTGATGATAGTAATCAACAATCTAATGATGGAGGAAATGTTATTACTGAACAACCAGTTAAAGCTGATGAAGAAGTTGAAATTAAAGAAAAACAAACAGAAGAAGTTAGCATAGAAAAATCTTCGAAAAAGGCTATCAAGTTGAAGAGGCTATCAATTAAACCTGTTGTTGAAGATAGCAATAATGAAAATGAAAAAGATGTGGAACCAGAAAAAAGCAATGAAAAAGTTGAGAAAATTCAAGAAATAACCGAGAAGATAGAAGAGAAAGTTCAGGAAGAAAATGGAAATGTTCACGAAAAAAATCAAGAAAAAACTCCTACTGAACACCCCAATGCTCCTCAACCAAATGCATGGGGCTCATCATATGAATCAAAAGAGGATCCCGAATCTAAAGAGGATCCCGAATCTAAAGAGGATTCCGAAACAAAGGAGGTTCTCAAATCAAAAGAGGTCTCTGAATCAAAACAGGTCGCTGAACCAAAAGAAAACACTGCTTCTGAGAAAAAAACTCAAAGGAAAAGAATAACTTTGAAACGTACAAAGGATGATTCAGTCTCTAGAACAAGTCAAGATAAGGATTCGGATAGAAGAACTTCACTAGAGGACAAAAAGCAGGATAGAAGAAATTCACTAGAAGACAAAAAGCAGGATCGAAGAACTTCACTAGAAGACAAAAAGCAGGAAAGAAGAATTTCACTTGAGGAAAAAAATAAGGATAAGAAGGATAGTAATTTGGAAAGAAGCGTTTCTGTTCCAGAAAAACGTGTCAAGCGTCACTCTTCCACAAGTGACCATATTGTCATTAATGATAGAAGGAGAAGAAGTACTACTAGTATCAGTGAAGCAGAAAAGGAGAAATCCATCAGTGAAAGTGAAGGTGAGTTATTCCTGGGTTTTTATTTCGATTCTTGTGACTCTAAACTTTTGTTTCAGATAAACCTCAAAAATCCAAAAAACCAACAAAAGTAGTAAAGCTTGTCAGGAACGTGCAAGAACTTTCACAAGAACCTCCGCCGCCAGGCGAAGAGCCAGGGAAAAAATTCAAGTGGACAAAAAAAATAGTTGTTGATGACATAAGAGTGTTTAGTTTTAACACTTTAAAAGAAATATGCCCCGAAGTCCAACTTTTAGATGAGAGTGAAGTTAATTTGGAAATTCCCCCAGAAAAACCAAGACGCAAGACTTATACCGAGTTAGAAGAAGAGGAAATGGAGAACATTGAAGCCGAATTAAATAGCGGCAATTTAGAAATGAAGGAAGCGATGGGCAGGAAAATTAGCATTGTGGACGATATGGCTAGTAAACTGAAACCACCACCCAGTCCAGCAAAAAATACAGTATCTGAAGTTTTGTTTATCACAAACTTGGTCAGACCTTTCACTGTGAAGCAGCTGAAGGAGCTATTGGAACGGACGGGGAAGATTAGGGAGGACGGATTCTGGACGGACAAGATCAAATCGAAGTGTTATGTTTGTTATGAAACAGCAGAGTAAGTATATTTGATTGTTGAAAAGAAATGTAATATTCCGATTGACACAGCAATTTTTTTTAACCTGGCTGTGTTGTATATTTTTTTTCCTCTGAAGAGGAGATTTAATGTTCGTTTATTCAGTTGATGTCATCAGAGAGCACTTTTGTCGTTCAGATATTACTTGCGACCTTATAATAATTATTATTATAATAATAACTCCACTCCCTCTGTTTAGAAAGGGTGTGCGAATGCCATTTCGGCAAAGTCATATAATAATACTAATGTTAAGTCTAAAAAGTAAATGCTATTGGACAAATGGCGAATTTTTAATTTTGACCCGCTGATCTTGGACCAAAAGAAGGTTTAGAGAGGGTTATAACCATTGGTCCATCGCGTTTAATCAGCTATTGATTTAATTGAAACTCTTGAACAAAAATATTCGTTCCAGGGAAGCAGAGGCAACAAGGAACGCTCTACATGGAGTACATTGGCCCGTTGGAAATGGCAAGAAGTTGATCATCGATTACGCCACCGTGAAGGATTTGGACAATGCCAAAACTCCAATCGTCGTGCAGCGGAGAGAAAAAACTCCAGAAAAAGAAAACAGGGTTGGTGATATTTTATTTTTTTTCCTCGATAAAGTGTGTTAATTGAATTTTTTTTGCAGAAATTGGAGCCAAAATCAGTATTGCCAGATGAACGATATGAGAGGAAACATGTTAAGCGAGATTGGGAAAATGAAAAAGATGAGGACAGTCAACGTAGACGTTCAAGAAGTAGGGAGCGAGGAGACAGAAAAACGAGTTGGAGATCATACACGCCTGAAGGTAACTTAGAATTACTTTCAATAATAATTGACAGCAGTAAAATACGATACCTATGAATAGTGAACTTGAAACATATTTTCGTTTTAGATCATCAAGCTAAAAAGCGCAGGCAAGAACCGCCCCCACAGAAAGCAATGGACGACTTATTTTTAAAAACCAAAGCAACGCCCAGTATATATTGGCAACCTTTGTCCCCCGAAGAGGTAAGAACTTGTTGAATGTATGTCCAATATTATTGTTACAGTAGAAATAGGAAATTTAGTTAGGCTAGCTTACAATTATTACAAAAAGCATAAATTGAAACTATGGGTTTAAGGTATCGGTCATCTCATTTTAACCAGCCTCAGGTTCCTTTCTTGATTTTCAGTTCAGGAAAAAATTATATACTATAAACCTGTAAAATGTTGGAATATTTTACTTTTTTTAGACAGCAGGGCATTCCTGTGCCTCAGCAGCACATATTTTTCGATACACCTTAATCCATTAATATAGTTTACATTGCCCAGAAAATTCTGAGTCCTTGTACGCTCTTAGGCGAAAAAGATTAGGATCAAACAACACTAAAAACTAATAACAGAGATAAAACTTTGGTAATTACAAGCAATATTAAAAGAAGTTTCTAAAATAATAAAATATAAAATAATTGTAAAATAGCATACATAAAACCTAAAAGTATATCAACGAATATCAATATTAAAAAACATATCAAACATGTATGTGTATACCGGGTGTTTTTCGAAACCCGCTCACCCCTATAACTTTTTTATTTTCACAAATGAACAAATGACATCTGGTGTGTTTATTCATGACCAGGATGTGTATTATTTGATGTATTCGATTATTTTTTATCACTTCCGGTTTGACCGGAAGTGACCCTAACTTTCTTATTTCAAATGAGACTCCAGGTATAATTTTCCTTATTTCAATAGAAAACTACATTACGAGTACAATGACAGCTCATTTGTCACTTTTTGAGAGTTTATGTCCAGAATATTTAAATTTCCACTTTTCAGTCTAGAGCGCCATGAATTAGTTAAAATGCTCAATTTTGCTCCAAGGACCCTGGGAAAATTTGTTTTGATCTTATTTCGTATTTTATATCCTCTACAGACTCATTTAAAAATAGTAGAAGCGCATTTTTGGAATTATGTCAATTTTTTCAAATGGAAAGGGTGTGGCTCCTCAACATATTCCGAAAGAGCATTTTCTAACGAACAATTTAGTAGCACACAGTCGCTAGTTCATTACTTAAATTAAAGAATTTTCTAGCATTTTAAATATTTTTGGAAAATTTCAGTTCAATATTAGGATAAACTAGCAATTGTGTGGTACTAAAGTGTTCGTTAGAAAATGCTCTTCTACTATTTTTAAATGAGTCTGTAGAGGATATAAAATACAAAATAAGATCAAATCAAATTTTCCCAGGTTCCTTGGAGCAAAATTGAGCATTTTAACTAATATACCGATCTCCTATTACCTGGACTGCGCGCGTCGCTTGTAGGATGCAGGTGAGCGTCCAATGAGAAGCAAGTTCATGACAGACTTGCGTCATATTCTTTTCAAGGGCCAGTTCAGAATGAATCGTTTTTTCTTTCTTTGTAACGTGTAATTTGACAAGAGCAAACTAATACTTTACATATTACTTGAACTCACCGCAGTTTCGTTTAAGGTTATGTTAGATTATACTTGACATATTCCTTTGCAATTTCATTGAGCGATGTTGCTGGATGAAACATTTATTAAAATAAAAGTGCAAACGATGTTTATCCACTTTAAAGCTCTTCTTTTGTCTGATTTAAGGCGTTGTGAAACACTTGAGACTATATTACTTCTTCAATGTTATAATATTCGATTTGTATTGTCTACATTTGTTCTGCAACAATACAATCTGGCTACACTGCAGCCTACGAGTTGCGCGCGCATGTCATCTTTTATTGTTTTCTAACTTGTATTTATTACAATGAAGCTTCCTTTTTCTAATCATGGGAGATAGGTCTATTCATGGAGCTCTAGATTGAAAAGTGGAAATTTAAATGATCTGGACATAAAATGTCAAAAAGTGACAAATGTGGTGTCGTTGTACTCGTAATGTAGTTTTCTATTGAAATAACGAAAAATATACCTGGCGTCTCATTCAAAATAAGAAAGTTAGGGTCACTTCCGGTCAAACCGGAAGTGATAAAAAATAATTGTGTCAAATAATGCACTTCCGGGTCATAAATAAACACACCAAATTTCATTTGTTTATTTGAAAAAATAAAACAGTTATAGGGGTGAGCGGGTTTTGAAAAACACCCGGTATAAACATTCACATTATAAACAGTCATATTGTAGACAGATGCATATAACAGTTATAATATTTCGTAGCAGAATAATAGGCCTTTGTAATGAGTAACCTCTTCATCTGCATTTTAAATATTTTCGGGTGTGCCAAGTTTGTAATATCAAGGGGAAGGTGGTTGAAGATAGTTACACTCTCATAGAAGATAGACCTCCTTGTTAAAGCAGAAGTAGGCCGGGTAAGACGCAAGATCATGTGATTCCTGCTTGGATATCGGGGGTTTCTCACCATGAATCCTGATTGGTACTTAAAGGCGATGCAAGCAATTTCAAGGATGTATAGACATGGGAGAGTTGATATTTTCTCCCGAAGAAAAAGTGTCGGCATGAATCCCGGGGATTGGTCCTACAAATGTACTGGACCGGACCGCCGTCTTTTGGATAATGAAGAGCATTTGAATCGTGTAGTTACTTGCATTTCCCCAGAAAGCAATAACATACCGAAGATAGGATTCAAACATATATCTAATATACTGAAGTATATCGCGCCTTCCCTATTTACCTTTTGTGCGGATTTTGAAGCAAAGAGAGATATAGAGCAATATGATCTCCCATGTCTATCTTTGTCAAACGAAGTAGAACGAGGTCATCAACTGCGCATGCGTTAAATGCTAGATTCTTATTGTCTGGGGTTGGCATTTTGTAACATGCTTCTTTTTCGATGTTGTCATATCAAGTTGAGGATATTATGCCTAATTTTGACATTTTGTTTTTTTATCGGTTTCTTGAATTAATTTTTGTATGACTTTTGTGATTCTAGTGTGAACTAAACTAAGCGGCAGATGAAGTGGGACACCCAAAAAATTGCCTAATTTTGACTTGCTATAACTTTGACATTTCTTTGCCGATCTTTGATTATCAGGCAGGGTTACAAAGCGCCATCTTTGGTCTATGCGTCAGTGTCGTCGTAGATTTTTTAAAAAAATTCCTTCTCGTTATACAGGGTGTGAATGTAAGGCGGCGAAAAATTTCCATTTTTTGGCGAAGAATATGGGAAAGATGGAGGGTCCAATAAAGTTCTTTCTAGTGGTGACTCGATCACTAGGTCAACACCTCGAGACGTCTTTGCCATTTTTTCAATACATCGCGTTGCTATGGAAATATGGCCATTTTATGGTATTTCATTTTTCTCTTGAAATTAGCGATTCTTTAATTGAACAATAACAGATTCCGTTCAAATTGCATCATGGAATGACTTGTATAGAAAATAGTCAACACCAGTGGCGTGCAAAAGGGGGATTATGAAATTAAAATAAAAAAAAATTGATTTTATCTGAAATTTTTAAGTTTTGTTGAGCTTTCAAATTTAACGCCCAAATGAACCGTAAGGACTCAATTCAGATTAGTTGCTGGAATCAGGTTAGGACTTCTCTTTTATATGCAAATTTTCCAACTAAGCGAGAATAAACTCCCAAGTCCATACGATGCATATGGGTGTGAAAGGTGTTATAAATAACTCTGATATGGTGTCATTTTGGTTCTCCTCTAGCCTGAATAACTGCGTGACACCGCCGTGGCACGCTCGAAACTATTCGGTTGATTAGCTCTATAGTAACTGACTCCCAGAGCTCCAGAATCATCTCCTCGAGATCGTCTAGAGCTTCTGGCTGACGTTCTCCCCGGGAAAGCTCTAACTTCATTTAGCTCCAGACGTGCTCAATTGGATTCATGTCTAAGGATCTGGGAGGCAATTCGGTACGATTGAACTTTTGCCCTTGCAGATACCGGTTCACTAATAATGCTCGATGAGACTGAGCATTATCGTCTGCAAGAACAAAATCCCCGCCATAATTTCGAGCATGTCGGAGAACTTGCGGAATCTAACATTTATCCAGGGACACTTGGCCGTTAACGTTGCCCCGAAATACCACGATACGACGAGTTCTGTTTTTCCGATGTGTTAGATACCGACCCAAACTGTCAATCCTCCACCGCCAAATGCAACTTGAAGACACATGTTTTCTTCTAAAAAACGTTCTCCCCATCTCCGTCAGGTTAGCAATCGGCCGTCAGAATTGTAGAGGTTAAAACGGCATCCATCAACGACAAGACAGTCTCTCCACCTTAAATCCCAATAATTCAGGTATTCCTGGGCCCATCTTTTTCTGTTCCCCCCGTGAATGTTTGTAAAAAGTGAGCACTTTGCCCGACGGGAGAATTTAATCCCTGGTCATGTAGGCGCCTTCTAATGGTCTCTGCTGAAACATTCAACTGCAGATGCGTTAGGATTCTCTTGACAGTCCAAACTCTATTTTCAATTGCAGTACGTACTACTAGTCGATCCTGACGAGGATTTGTTCTTTTTTGAGATCCTCCACCGTGTCGGTGAGCAGCAGTACCGTTGACAGGTTTGTTCACACGTTAACATTAAATAACATGAAAAATACTGTTTTTTTTTTCACTAAACGCTTCTGAATATCAAAATCAAATTCATCACAGTTATTTATAACACCTTTTTAACTGTAACGCTCAACAAAACCGTTAAAATTTTCAAATAAATCCATTTTATTTTTTTTTTTAAATTTCATAAATTCCCTTTTGCACGTCACTGCTGTTGAGTACTTTCTATACAAGTCATTCCATGATGCAATTTGAACGGAATCTGTTATTGTTCAATTAAAGAATCGCTAATTTCAAGAGAAAAATGAAATACCATAAAATGGCCATATTTCCATAGCAACGCGATGTATTGAAAAAATGGCAAAGACGTCTCGAGGTGTTGACCTAGTGATCGAGTCACCACTAGAAAGAACTCTATTGGACCCTCCATCTTTCCCATATTCTTCGCCAAAAAATGGAAATTTTTCGCCGCCTTACATTCACACCCTGTATAATGAGAAGGAATTTTTTAAAAAAATCTTCG